CAAAAAGCCCTTGCGTCACTGATTACTTGAAAGCAGAGATGATGTGAGGTTTTGATTTTTTACCTGTGTTTATGCTACGGTTATACAGTCATTCTTGTCATTCTCTCTGCCCCACCCCTGCAAAATCACTAACGCTGAAACACAAAAATGAACGAAGCTGAACGTTGTTCATTTTTGTATTCTGTTTGGAAGTAAATTTGTCAGAGACTAAATTATATTTTAAGCAGTATATTTGACAGCTAAAATTTATATAGTAAAATGTTGAGAAATTGTTCAGTAATGTCTGGTTTTCCTGTATTTTCCACTCCTGGAAGGAGGAGAAGGGAGGGGAAGGAAGGCAAGAGGGCCAGCTCCTCACCCCAGCCTGCAGGGCTGAAGGTGACACAGCAGGCATCAGAAGGCCACTGTTAACAGATTAGAAAAGGGAAGGTTTTTTTTTTTTACCTCTCTGTCAAGGTTTATTTTTGCTACTCGGACCTCGCCAGTATCCTTATCCATACTGAATGCAGCACTAGGGCTTTGGGAAACAATCCTGAAAGCAATTTTGGAATTTAGGTTATTTGGTTCATCTGCATCTGTTGCATTTATCCTTATTACAATCGTACCTGGAAAAAGCAAACAAAACACAGTATTTGTTTACACTGCCACACACTGGCAAGTATTTTTACTGTCATGCCAAACCAGAGCATGCTGTCAGATGCACTGCACAATTTCCTGATGCTCTTGCCTTTATTTATTTAATGAATAGAGCTAAAGAAGCGATCCTAAAACCAGTATATGTTAAAAGTATACCCTCTAGCAAACAAAAGATTGTATCCACACATCTGTAACTCACAGAATTCAATGCACCAGATTTAAAACAACAGGTTGAATTCCCTCAAAAAATTCAGACAGAAAACTGTTGATATTATACAGAGAAGAAAGGTTTTGAACAACAAGCTACATTCCCCTCACACAGTATTCTAAAGGGAGCACTACTAACTCCTCTACCTGAAAGTTATTAAAACAATTGCTCCGTATTAGTGCCCTCCAAGAGCTTTACTCAAATTCCATGGTGGTCCCCGTGGTCCCTTATAACTCATGGCACAGGGTTTTGTCCTCTGGGAAAGGGTGTACCTCAGCATGCAGTGCCCGAGTGTGAACACTAGCTGGAATTCAGGCAGAAAGCAATCACCATGTGGCTGCTACTGCCTTGAAAGAGAGCAGAGGGAACTCAATACCCCACCCAAGCGGATGGTCAAGAACTTGTTTCTTCAGATTACTGCGACACTGAAATGCACACAATGTCAAGTATTCATTAGGTTGTTTTATTCCAGCTTTTCTTCTCTTCTGGGAAACAGTCTGCTGCTCTTATGCCTACTGACAGTGATAAGAAAACTTGCCACTACCTTGTTCTTTGAGGCTGAGGTCACAGCCCCATGCAGTCAACAGTGAAGTACCTCTCCAGCCCAGAGATCAAGCAGGGTGGAGTCCCTCCCAAACAGGCTGGGACTGCTAGGCCAGAGGTGCCTTCCTGCCAAAGGACTCCGGGTCCTGGATCTGGGGTAGCTCTGACACCAAACCAAAGGTGCCATTAAGACGAAGGGCTGTTCCCTGTTGTCTCTAGGTGGAGGCTTTCCCTTAATCCCACCACACAGCTCAGCCCTGAATAAAAACTTGTATTCACACGTGGATAACCTGTCCCACGCAAGCAAGAGAACATATCCTTGTTCCTGCAGCTCTGCTGCTGCAAACAGTACAGTCACTTGTGCCCTTGGACGTGTTGGGAAAAGTTGAATGAAAAAAAGAAGTCTAAAAATAATGTTACCTGTTTCACTTAATTCTTCAACTGAACCAACAAAAACTTCATGTGAGAACACTGGAGAATTGTCATTTATATCCACAACTTTAATTGGGAGGTCTATTGGCTCTTCCAGTTTTGCTCCAGTCTTATCTAGTGCATGACCTCTGAGCTGAAATAACACAGACAGAAACAATACGCAGATCCAATGACTGACTGTAATATATATAAATACACACGCAAACCAGAAATATATATATATAACAAAATCTAAGCATTGCCTAAGCATATCTGATATGCTTATAAATATAAGAATGTTTACACACACAAATACGCAGAAACATTAAAACTAATTGAAGCAAACATATTTGAACAAAATAAATGGATAGGAAGGCTCTACAAGGAAAAAGTTACTATTCAACTTACAAGCAGCATCGGAGTCTTTTCTCTGTCAACCCTTCCTGTTATGTTCAGGTCTCCAGTCTTTCCATTGATAACAAATAATCCAAAAGGGGGTTCTGTTACTCCTTGGCCAGATATAGTGTAAGTCACCACTACCCCTGTATCTTCTAGATCAGAATGTATCTAGCAGGAATATAACAGATTCAATGGCATTTGGTAAATAAAACCACATTTAAAACCACAACCAAAGTATTTTTGCTGCTTTGGTAATGAACAAACAACAATAAATATTAAACACATTTATCTGCACTCCTCTGAGTGCGCAGATGTTGAGAGGAATGCAGGAAGAGCTGCATGTTTCGTTTGCAGACCTGGTGCAGAGAGATGAGCAACATGATGGGCAGTGCAACAGCTGGGAATCATAGAGGTCTGTGGGAGAAGAAAATCTGGGCTGCTTGGACAAAGAGAGCGGGATAGGATACAAGAGCAAGGAAAGGCTGGGGAATATTCAACTGTGAGAAGGTGAAAAGCTGGAGGGAGGGGAAAAAGGAGGAAACTGGCTGTTCAAATGGATGGGGGCAAATAAAATGTGGAGAAAGACCAAGGGGAAAAATAAAAAAGAGAGTCTGGAATGATGAGTTGAGCAGGGGAGACTGAAGTTACTTAAGCAAAGCCTGGAAATAAAATCTGACGATGTTTTAAGGCAGATTAGACCTAAGCTAGGGAGTGTGAGCAGGACTGAGGGAGTGACAAGGTGGAGGAAGACAGGTCAGACCTGGGGAGGAACAGGTAGAAGAGGCCGCACAGACCAGAGGGGCCACCGTTCCTCTGCTGTCAGCAAACGGCCGCAACGCCTGCAAAGGCAGGGGTGCGTCGTGCCAGCAGCACCACCAAGAGGCAGCCCAAGCAGAGGGAGCAGCCTGCTGCCACCTGCAGTTACTTCCCAAGCTCAGGG